CTCTGCAGGCCCGTCTACCCTCTGCACTCCATATCATTAAATGTGCGGCGCCTACTCTGCTCTCTGATCTGAATGGTCCGAAAGGGTGAGAGGGACCAGTCTTCCTTTGCGGTATATATTGCAAATGACAGGTAGATCAATCACTCTTCGCAGCTTCGTCAGGCAATGCTGCAATTAAAATGGTCAGCTGGGAGACTGATGGGGCCGGTTATGAATGTTTGATTGACTATGGCTGCTCCTGTCCCCATAGTCCAGTCTTCACCAACCTGTAAGAGGTGCACCGGCCAAACATCTCCTACAGCCTTCCTTCACAGAGGATTCAGGACCTCCTTCCTCCTGCTGGGGATCCCTCTAGTGATAATGAAGATCTATATAGAGGGATCAGGACCTCCTTCCTCCTGCTGGGAATCCCTCTAGTGATAATAAAGATCTATATAGAGGAATCAGGACCTCCTTCCCCCTGCTGGGGACCCCTCTAGTGATAATAAAGATCTATATAGAGGAATCAGGACCTCCTTCCTCCTGCTGGCGTCCTCTCTAGTGATGCTCCCCAGAATTATAATCACTTCCCCACTGCCAGACCACGCTATTTGTTCATTTAACAACCATCTAAAAGTTTAGCACCCTTTTCTTCTGTAGTTCTGGCTACCCCCAATATTGTACTCTATGGAAGGATTCTTTTTCCATGAATGCATTATTTCTCAGGGGCAACCGTTAATGTTCTTATAACCCTTTGCATACACATGCAGCAGTCTTTTTGTGGTGGAGGGTAAGTGACCTGGACCGGCCTGCAGCCTCTTATTCTATGATTCTGTGTCCTCTGGCTCACATTTTTGCAGACCGCCATTCAGAAAGTAAAGTTTTGGCTTTAATGACAACTTCAATAGACAGGCCACCACCAAGGCCAGTGTTGGAAAGTCTTACCTGATGCGCACAGCGTCGCGGCGGCGGGTTTGGGACGTCGATCTTATTCCAGCTGTTCTTCTTTATGTTGTAGAAATACAGTTCATTATATAAAAAGGTCTGAAAGAAAGAAAAGATGAAAATGGTTTTTTTAAAAACTATCCCGCAAAATGCGTTTCCTAACCCCAAAAAGATTTAAAAAATACTCTACAACATTCAAGCAGCTTTCACAGGGAAACAAAATTAATTAAAAAGGAAACTCAAATCATTATAATTGCTACACTAGCCGAGGGGCGAAAATTATGTCCAGACACCACCTCAGGCAAGGCCAGCCAATCAGAATGTCAATAGGGAGCACCTTGTATCCTCCTATAGCTCCGCAGATATAGATATAGTACATTTAGCATCTGTTTAGGTATCAGGGCAGCGGCGGGGGGGTTGAGATTGGTTAGCATTAGGTTGTGCTTTAATGTTAGTTTTATAGTCTTTATTGCGGATGGGTTATGGCACACGTGTCAAACTCAAGGCCCAGGGGCCGAATCCGGCCCACCAGGCCATTTCCTAGACTTCTTACTTTCAGATCCTAGGTATTAAGTTGTGACTAAAACCCGTGATCATGGAATGCAGAGGCAATTATGATAAAGATCAGATACATTTATATAGTCTTACAGGTACCTTTGAGGGCAACCATAATGTTGATGCGGCCCACGATTAAATTGAGTTTGACACCCCCTGGGTTATGGGGTGATTAGGGGTGTGCACAATCCCACTACACTGCTAGCTTAATAGTTAGACTGCAGGGAGACTGATGGGTGGAGCTGGGACAACCAATGTTGCAGATACCTCGGCTCGGATCTAGGTGTTCCCAGAATAGAAGAAGACATCACAATGTCCCACCCAGGGCACAAAGCCCCAGACAGTCAGGCTGCATCAACTGCCTTTGTTTCCACGCAACATTTTCCAGCGAGCGCTGAGTGCGCCTTTCCGTTACATGGGAAAAATCGACATGGGTTTGTCACACGTAAGGGGGGGGAATTTATTCATACCACGTTTCCCACCAGCGGGGCTGACACTGATCTGCAGATTACAGCACACAACACGCCATAGCCTGCAGGCAATCAGAGCCCATTAAATATTAATACGGAGCCGACACTCGGAGACCAGTAATGGGCACAGATTCCACAGTGGGGGAAGCATGGGGGGGGGTTGTCTCGCAGGACATGAAATATTCCAGGAACTCAGATATGTCAATGTTCAGGGAATCAGAATTGTGACACATACATACAAAACACATTGGAATGTTTTCTAACAATATCTACTTCTGAGAATTGGATTTGCACACGGCGATAAAAAAATGCCGCGTCCGATGGACACGAGAAAAATATTGAAACGTTATGCAGAATAAACACAGGCACCCCAAAAGATGTCACATTATACTTCAAGTGTCACCGACAGGGGTCCCCAGCCACCAAGAAAGGATAGGTCACGATGATGCCTGAGGGTAGAGCAGCAGCAGAGGGTACAGATGGTGAAACATAGGAGGCCTGACCACTGCAAGGTATAC